GAACGAGATGATTACGGAGCCCACTACATTGACTATAGCAACGAGCGCAATGGACATCTCTGTTGCCATCAGCTGCTGGATCTGTGTCGAGTCTGAGCTCAGCGTTGATGTTAGAGATCCCGGGCTATGTCCTTGATCGTCGAAGAAGGCAATGCGTTTGCGGATGAGGTTATCCAGGTATTCTTGGCGATAGGTCCTTGTTACGGCGACAGAGATGAGGTGACAGGCCAAGCCCATGAAAAAGTAGGATAGAAAGGTACTCGCAGCTAGAACACCGAACATGCCTGCCCAAAAGTTACCCTGGTTGACAAGTTCGTCCATGGGAAGGGTGAAAACGTTGACGACATGTGCGAAAATGTAGGCCTGGAGTGGGAAGACGACACCGGTAGCCAGTATACCCAGAATAGCGAGACTGTATAAGATCCAATGTCCCCGTTGTTCGTAGAGAAGACGCCCGAAGCTGCCAAAGAGACCTTGCTGTTTGTACTTTGGATCTTCGGCTACTTTGGAGACATCGGTGCTCTGCTTGTAGTCTTCGACTATTGCAGTGTCTGCGCTCTTCACCTTTTCGAGCGGGCTAGCATCAGCGTCCTGTTCCGCTTCCGTAGCGATCTCTTGGGCATGGACCAAGCCGTAGTAGACACCAGCTTCTAGCTTCAACAGCTCATCATGGGTACCTTGTTCCACGAGAGCGCCTTGACGTAAGACTACGATCTTGTCCGCACGCCTGATGGTAGAAAGACGATGCGCGATGACGATAGTCGTCCGATTCTTCGATACGCGATCGAGAGCCTGTTGAACAATGCGTTCAGTGCGTACATCGATAGCGCTCGTAGCCTCGTCGAGAATCAATATAGGAGGTTGTTTGATGATGCTCCGCGCGATCGCCACTCGTTGTCGCTGTCCACCCGAAAGCTTGATACCACTCTCGCCTACCAGAGTCTCGTAACCTTCAGGAAGTCTGGCGATGAACTCTTCGGCATAGGCTTCGCGACATGCCTCATCGACCATTGTCTTCTTCTCTTCTTTGGGCAAGTCTTCGTACTGAGTACCAATAAGACCGAACGCAATGTTGTTGTACAGGGTGTCGTTGAACAGGAAGGGCTCTTGCTGTACTAGACCAATCTGAGAGCGCCACCATTTTAAGTCGACATCTCGTAGGTTGGTATCTCCGATCCGGATAGCACCAGTGCAAGTGTTCGGGCCCAGATCAGGCTCCTCGTCCTTGCTCTTGCCATCTCCAGCTTTCTCCGCAGATGCTTGTTTGTCTCCATCCTTCGGCACAGCTTTCTTCTTGAACCATCGAGACTTTTGTGGGCTGTCCTTATCGTTGTCAAGCGCGTCCTCGTGAGGCGATGGGTCGGCCGCGTGATCGTCAGGGGTGGCCGTAGCTGTTGTGCCTGAGAGCTCGTACCATCTCTGCAACAACCCTACGATAGTAGACTTTCCTAAAAGTTGAGGCAAGTGGTTAGTAACTAGCACATGAATTACAGTGTAGAAACTGCTTACCACTCCCAGACGGACCAACAATAGCGGTAACTTTGCCTGCCTCAAACTCGAGGTCAAGACCTCCAAGGATCGGAACATTTGGTCGGCTTGGGTATGAGAAGGCGACGTTTTGAAAGCTGATGTTTGCGTTTGCGGTAACATCCGGCTCTTTCAATCCAGTGGTATCGGGAACGGCTGCATCGATCGTGATGAATAATTCGGTAGCGGCCGAAGATGCCTTCGCAATGGCCATGATAGGGGCTACAACCCTACCGACGTTCGTTATTGCCATCATGACAGAGAATAGAACCACCACTATCGTTCCAACGTCGATGTTCTTGCCTTCCGAGTACTGTTTGATGCCGAACCAAAACGCAATCGCAAAGGTGCCATACTGTCCAATCATCATGGGTGACATCACGAGACCCATGAGAGGCGCAGCTCTGGCCTCGTTAGTCGCAGCTTTGTCCAACAAGGCCTCGTGCAACCTCGCCAATTTCGCCTCTGCACCAAATGCAGCGACAATGCGAATGGATGAGAACATCTCGAAAGCCATAGCAGAAGCATCTTCGTGATGCTTCTCGGTAACTTTGTGGATCCGGATGAAAGGTGGTACTATGATACCAAGCACGACGAGGATGAACGGAAGCGAAGCAGATGCGACTACAGTAAGCAGTGGGCCTTTGATGAAAGCCACCACATAGGCTCCGATCACGAACGCAAGAACCTGGAAGAGCATGGCAATGTGCTGTGATATTGCGAGTTGGACCGTGTTGGAAGAGGTGGTAATTCGCGTGGACACCTTGCCGGGACTTATCGTGTCTATGACACTAATTGGCTGTGCGAACAAGGCTCGTAGATATGCTTGACGCAATGCAGCAGAGATCCTCAGGCCGCTGATTCGGATGGTAAGCTATACCAGCATTAGTATAATGGTAGCCTCTTCATGGCATGCGTGCATACCATTGATATATAAGACAACACAAACTTCGCGATGAAGAGGTAGACAAGAAACAGGGTAAGCCTGTTGATTTCGGCTTGAAACTCCCTGGCTGTCATGGTCGTTCCCGGGATGAAGTAATTGGTGAAAGATCCGACTAATTGACCTGGCTGCTGTCAGTATTCGGGGAGGATCCCAACGGATTCTGGAGTATCAGGTCATACCGAAGACGACGTTCATCAGAGGAAACGTAACGCCGGAGGCTATCGAGGTAACACAGCACATGAATATGAGCCAGTAATCGAGAGTAGTTCCATGGGAGAAGACTCGCTGATCGTTTGTCAGCCAAGAGTAACATCCAAGACGATTTACTCACGAAGTAATTCTTCATGCCCGCTTCAGGCACTTTCTTTGCTTGCGATGAAATACTTTCATCTTGCTCTGCATGTTCAATGACGCCGTTCTTTTCATCGGATCCTGTCTCTAAAACTTGAGCGGCGATCGCAGCGCTCTCCACCTCAGCATCGATCGTTGGCCGAGGTGGCGATTGACCGTCAGTGTCCTTAGAGTTCATGGCTGTGCGATGCAAAGGAGCGTAAGAAAGCGACAAAGTGCGGCTTTAAGATGAATGGTTATTCGACGGTAGAAGAGGCGGTCATCTTAAAGCGAAGGACGAAAGTTGATGCCTGGTGATGTGTTTGCCGTATAGATCGTATTCTTGTGTACACCGGATCAAGCCGTGTCTGCGTTCCGATTCGACACGCACACCGTCGAAATTCGGAGTGAGAGTGTACCTTATAACGATCGTTTGCACCGGGGCCAATGTTCGTCGCGCGCCAAGTGCTGTACGAAGTACGAAACTCAGCCAGGGGAGGCGCTAACCGCGCGACTTCTCGCTTCACCACCATCCTTCCCAATCGAGCGACTACCTGCGAGACGCATGGGTCAACGCGCGTCTGTTGTGACTCGACGTCTGGACCCAAGGCCAGTGCGGATAAGTCATGTCGACTGCTGAGCACAGCCAGCAAATGCTCTTCGCAACAAGAATTGAATCGAGCGCGCAAATGTTGAAGTTTCCTAGAATGTTGGTGTTGTCCAGCGTTCTCCTGAGCCCTGGAGTGAGTGAGTGAGTGAGTGAACGGACGTCGGTGGCTGAAAGTCCTACCCCACCGATCGACCGGCACTCATTCAGCCTCTGCCTTCCGCACAACCATTGCCCGTTCACAGACAAGCTTGTAGACTTCCCTTGAGCTTTTCAAGATGGTAGCAGACGCCTTCATCGCAACTGCATGCGGCCGAGATGCTCGTCGATCTGCTTTTTTGGCGGCCTCGTAGCTGGCATTGATACCTACCTGGGTAAACATCACCCATCGCTCACGTGACTTTGCGAGCGGACCAGTCAGAATGCGCGAGCATACCGAATTCAGAAATAACCATGGCCAAGACATGTGCTAAGGATGCCGCAAGGATGACGGAGTGACAAAACATTGCTGCCTAAGGTCAGGGAGCCCCAGGAAGGTACGATATCCTGCGCTTGGAAGTGCGCTCACGAAAATGACTGCACATGCTTATCGAGCAATTCCTGGAGCTGGTAGAACCTTGGAACAAGCAGACTGATCCGTAGTGCAAGTTCAGATATAGACGAGCAGATGCGATCTTAAGCCACAGCATAGCTTTAAACATGCGAGGCAATGTACAGAGTGCAGCGAGGTGAGAGACCCCGTGGTGGTATCTAGGAAGGAGGGGAGGGAAATGTCCTTTCCCTTTACCATGGTACGCAAGCCTCACCCCAAGGCACACGCCATGAGATCCCTAAGATCCTCTATCCACCTCACCAAGGTATCGATTCTCAACACACAAGTTGACCACATTCCACGAGCTCAGTATGGGTTGCACATTCTCCAGTCGGCGACACCTTGAACAGGAGCAAAGCAACAGCATCCAACGGCCACCGAACCTCACTATCAGCGATCAGACCTTGCCAATAAGATCGCCCATTCTAGGCCCAAATGTCCCGACAGAGATCCACCTCGCTATCGCCGAACATCTGTCACCAAGCGCCGTCGCGGCATTAGCGCTCTCGTGCAAACGGTTTTTCGGCATATTCAGCCTATTCATAGGCCCATCTAGCGTCTTCGGAGACGAGTATTCCGCATTCCTCTTTTTGCTGGAACGAGATCTCCCCGACTACTATTACCGAATACCTTCAGACTACCGTCTAAGGAGGCGAGATGCGACGACAACACCGCAAACCTATTCACCTACACTGCACGGACCTGAGTGCGCCTATAAGGTGCTAGCTAGTCGTTTCAACTATACAATCACCTTATCGCACTTCGCGCTCGCTCTGAAGCGCGATGCCTGTGGTGACGAACACGGCCTTGGACTTGACAGCTTTAACTACTGCGCGTCTCGCACATTGGAACCGCTAGAGCAGACCCAGGACGGACGCGTTCAGATCGATCTGAAAGCGACGCCAAAGATTGTTGCTACGCTGCGACTACCACATTCACCGCGTGGCAGGCGCAAAGCAGATCCAGGTGCATGAGCTATCTTCCTTCGACCTCCCGCTATGTCGGTACGTAAGCACGCAGCATCATAAATTTCCATGGTAAGACAGAACTCAAGAGAAGTACACAGCAGTCCATCTTACAGCACCACAGGTACTGCCAATCCCTCAGCAACGCACTGCGCCCCCGCAGATACACCGATGAAGACGACGACTCTGACGACGACTCCTTCTCTACTTTCGATTCCAAGCCCCTCAATACTGCACACGGCCGATGCAGCTTCTGCATGACAGACTGGGCTGTTACCACATCGGCCAGCGGGGATGGTGTCAAGGTGACGACATGGCAGAACTTCGGCCATAGAGCAGGTGCAGACCTCGTGTGGAAGGCTCTTGTGGGCGGGTACGTGGAGGGTGGGTATGCGGAACATTATTGCCAGATCGTGAAATTCCCTGCTGGATGTGTGAAGGAGGCTTTTGAGACGGGGGATGGTAGTACACTGGAGAGCTTGGACACGCAGATTTAGTTTGTTGATGGAAGGCTCTTTGGTCCGACTGATCAAAGGAAGGGCGTGTCCCATGGGAGCCTCGATGAAGCCGGTCGAAGTGGCACTCAAGATGATAATGATCAAGCAATTGCACTATGTCTACTGACCCCCAATGCTATCCCCTCGGCTCCGCACACTTCTCCCACATTCCATCTCCCTCAAGGCCTCAACATCAGACTTCCGTCTCGCACTCTCCTTCCTCTTCTCCAACCTCACCAGACTCTCAATCAGCCGCTTCATAAGCCACTCGCTTTCACTAATACCCGACACCATAGGACTATCATCCCCGATCCAATCCCAATTCACCAACCCCTCTTCGTTCTCGTCTTCAGAAACCATGTTTTCGTTGTCTACATTGCGGTCTAGACGCTCTGGACTCGTCAGGCGGATGAGCCGTGTGAACTCGACCCATTCTTCATATGTATAGCGCTTGTCGTTGGTTCTGAGGTCGAGAGATACTTTTTGGATGGACAGGGCGAGGCGACGAGTAAGCGAAGTTTGAGAGGGAGGGCTGGTAATGTCGGCTTCGGCTTCGGAGGCGAGGGCTGGGACGGTGGGGTGGAGAGTCAGTTCTATATCGGTTGCTGCTTCGCGATCTTCCGGGTCGTTCGAAATGCTCTCTCTGTCTTGCGGGTCCGAAGAATCTACGATGCTGTCGTCAGACCGTGGGTCCGAGACGTCGAAGCCCCTTATCAATCGCTTCTTTCTCGCTCGCCTGTCTGTCCATCGCTGTAGCCATCGCAGCAGCCAAGGGTGCTTGTCGAGAAACGAACGCCAAATACCCGCCTTGGGCAGTACTGTAAAATCTGCGAGCTCGTCACTCCACTTCTTGAAGTTGGCGACAACAGTGTCGCCTAGATCTGAGACCAGAATAGTCATGGTCGGAACGGCAATCAAGCTCCAGATGACGAAGAAACAGCGCCCAGAGTTTGATCTCGGTGCCAAGTCACCATATCCAATGGTTAGAAGACTGACATAACAGAAGTAGAGTGACTGGAAATACGTCAAGTGTTGTGTTTCTTCTTCGGTGATCCAGAACACGACTGCGCCAACACACCAAAGAATCAAAAAAGTGGTGATGGACCAGAATAGCGCCATCCACTGCTTGAACTTCTTCGAGTCGGCTTGGATCTTGCGCATAGCTTCAAAACGGTCCTTTTCTTCTTTCAACAGCATGATCTTGGGCTTGGAGGACTTGATGTGTAGAGCATTGGCAACACCCTGCATAGTCGATGTATGCTGGACAGACTCGCCCATGGGGGTTCGAAAGGGCCGTGGTTGACTAGGTCCTGATATCTTTGGAATGCCAAGTTTGCGTTTCCGAACAAGGTGGTGTGCTTCTCGTTCCCGATGACGGAGGTCAAACGAGTTGGTAACTGTACGCTCTGCGACTCGTTCGCGCATGCGATCGACATGCTTCTGAACAATCTTCTCGTCGCCGAGCTCGCGAACTGCCGTGTAAAGCGAGGAGACGATGAGGGCTAGCGTAATCGTTCCGCCTACAGAGTACGGAAAGACAATCCCCCTAGTGACATCAGTCGTAGGTACTAGGTCGCCAAATCCAACGGTTAGGATAGTGACGTCGCAAAAGTACAAGGCATCGGCAAACCTCCAACTGTCCTCTCCAGCATCTTGCTCGAGTTTCGCAAAGACTGCAGCGCCACCGCCTAACCAGATGAAAAACGCCATAGTCTGTAGAATAAGCGTCCTTTGACTGTCGCTCAAAGCGAAGTTTTCGGGGTAGTGACCAAGAAAAAAGCCCAGCATGTTGACCATGAGAAGCATAGAGCAGATGGTATAAAACGCCGCAGCCGCAATCGCGTACCAGAAGCCTTGTGTGTATCCTTGTTCCGGTCGCATTGGTGGTTCGTAAGTGTTCATGCATATCGTTATCGCTATGAGAAAAGCAGATGAGAGATACCATAGAACCACAGTAACGGGTAAGGCAACGATGTAACGGATCCTCTGCGTGAAGTTCAGAAGAAGGAAGAGATTGCCAAGGAAGCCGCAGATCAGCGATGCTACGTTGATCCAGTAGCACCATCTCGGGTCGCCGAAAGGTACGCCTTTGAAGTCTGAGATGCGTTCGCCGTTGATGATGTTTTGCTGTCTCCAGGGAGTTACGAGTGCAGCGATCGAGCTCACATTCGCTAACGGGCCGAGAGTTGCGGCGAGGAGCTTGATTGGTGTTAGCATCGGAACAACGTAGTTCGTCAAGTCGATGTAGTGGTTAAGAGCCATATGAACCTCTTGCAACGACATTTCAGTGCGCATCATCACTTACGGGTATCCCAGTGCTCGCGAACCACCAATCGCTATCCTGGCCCTCCCATTTCTTCCAGACATTCCACCATCTCTTCTCCCCACTGCCTTGTTGTATCAACTGCTCTTTTCTTTGATCTTCCTCTTCCTGGGCGTTATTTTGTTCCGACGTACTCGGCTGCCCCGGTTCTTCATGTTCATGCGCCATCATCGGAGCGATCCGGCATCAGACATCGTAACCCCGAACAGTGAGCTGAGCCTTCGGTGAACCCAGAAATGATAACAATAGTTCAGAACGCGAAGTATCCTCAGGCTCGTTCTCCACTGCAAAACTCGAGAAGGTGCGAAACGGCGATCAATACGTCGGGCACGGATATACGCGTGTGACTAGTTGCTGAGAAACTGGCGCTAGAGCGGAAGCGGTGGCGCAGGGAATGTGAACGTGTCTACAGTTGCGAGGAGACACGGAAGATAATACAGAAGTCGGAAATCAGGGTCTAACTTCAGTAGCGAGTTCATGGCCGCGCGTTTGAGCAGGTCTCCAGCAAGATTGCCAGATTCGATGACTCGGCTATCGCGGCGTAGTGGAGACGAATGGTGGGTGCTGGCGTCGATCAGCCGTTGACGCACGCCAAGCTGCGAATGCCGGGGTTACTTAGAGATCAAAAGGTGAATACTTCACGTGCGGTTAGAGATTCTTTGGAAAGCATAGGATGTGCTTGCGTGTTTCATGCCGTGATTTGCGATGATTTTGAGAAAGCGCTGGGATATCTCCTGGTTGTCGGCTTGGTGGCAGTCATGTTCCTTGTTTGGTCGATATATTGTTCAAACTATATACAACAGGTATCAATGCGCTCAATGCTTATTGCGACTTGAGCTTCTCGGTCAGCTCTGGGACCTTTTCGAATAAATCTCCAACAAGACCAACATCCGCGACCTGGAAAATGGGTGCCTCGGCATCCTTGTTGATGGCTGCAATGACCTTGCTGTCCTTCATACCAGCCAGATGCTGAATAGCACCAGAGATACCAGCACACAGGTATAATTGTGGCGCAACGTTCTTTCCTGTCTGGCCCACTTGCAAGCTGTTGTCTGCAAAGCCACTGTCGACTGCTGCTCTTGATGCACCGATGGCGGCACCGAGCGCGTCTGCTAGCGGTGGCATGAGCTTGTCAAACTCCTCCTTTGATTTCAGACCACGGCCTCCGGAGACGACCTTCTCTGCAGAGCCGAGATCGGGACGGTCGGACTTTTGGAGGTCCTCGGATATCCACTCTGTTGAGCATTCGGCCTTGGGGTCGACGCCCTCCTCTACTGTCGCGTTTCCGCCTTCGGTTTCAGGCGCGGGGAACGCGGTGCCTCGGACGGTGATGACTTTGGTGCTGTCGGACGATTGGACGGTCATAATGGCGTTACCGGCGTAGATTGGGCGAACGAATGCTGTAGTCTGGTTAACAACCCTTCGCATATTTCAGACGGTACCCACTCACTGTCCTCGCTCTCGATGCCGGTAATGTCTGATATTTGCTGTGTGTCCAGAAGTGCTGAGACACGCGGCATTATGTTCTTTCCAAACGCCGAGTGACCGGCAACGACATGTGTGTAACCACCCTTCTTGATGTTCTCGACCAGGAGTGGCGCATAGTTCTCAGGGAGACACTGTAAGATGTTGTTAGTCCCGTGTCATTCCATATCTCTTTAGACTACCAACCCTGTCGTATGCTCCATTCTCGACGTAGATGACCTTCTCTACACCTTTTGACTTGGCTGCCTCATCTGCGGCCGACTTGACCCCACTTCCAGCAATGAAGGCTGTTATTGAGCCTCCAAGCTTTGTCCCTGCTGTGATGGCGGCCAATGACTGTGACACGATCTTTCCTTCCTTCTGCTCGAGAATGGCAAACGTCGACGCTAACCGTGCGAAGGCGGAGTATTGGGGTACGACCGTGGGTTGCGACTGCCGAAGCCGTGTGCGAGCTGTGCGGAGGGCGGATTGACGAGCAGCGGAGAACATGGTGGGCGGGAACAGTGCGATGCCTCTAGGAAACACAGACACGCAAGATTCGAGAAGGTGGTGTAGAATGCCTCGTCCAGCAGTAGTGAAAGCAACCCAACGGCGCGGAGAACTATGACCTCGGTTTGGCCAGGTTAGTTATCCGGCACTAGCCTTGCATCTGCATCGGGGCTGCAGGCTGATCACGTGAGACTACTCCATGCTCCTTAGTGCTCTTTTTGCTTAGGCGTTCGAGAGCATCGCGAACTTCAGACGCGACTCCAACCCACCCATCGCAGCCCCCCATCCCCACCCTCATTCAACAACGACCACGCGGCAGCACGTTGAAAAAGACACGTTGCGATCGCGCAATCGCTCCGAGTACTCGCGCCCGCGACTTCCCCTTTGCATTGCCGCATAGTGCCTTCCAGCTCCGTCGCATCGCACAGCACGCCCCGAGCCATGGCCGACGACGCGACAGCAAGCGCAACTGCGCAGGACCCAAGTCTCACTGGAGAAGGTGCCACCGACACCAATGCGCTCGATCAAGGTAGGTCGCATCCTGATTCCAATCATCACCATACCCACCGCCAGTCGCGTCAACACCATGGACGACCTATTCCATGACGACGAGCTCCTAGGTGCACTGGATCTTGCCGACTTGGATCGCATGTTCCCATCACCGACCTTGAAAAATCTCCAAGTCGACAGCCCGCTAAGTTCC